CCTGCTACTGGTTCTGCAGTGATTAGCACGGCCACCTCAGCAACAACCTGCCCAGAAAGACAACAGGGAATACTGCAGAAAAGATTCTAATGTAAAAGGGTTTAAGGAAATGTTTTTTTTTCTGGTTAGAAAATGGAGGTTAATATAAAAAAATCAAATGGGATGTTGAATGGCTAAATGTAAGCCATGCCACGTAGGTTTTCCTTATTTCCAAAAATTGAAAGATTCTCAGCTTAAATGATTTATTTACAGGATGGTGGTGACAGCACAAATACTCAAAATATTTTCCTAAGTAAACCAGGACAAAATCCTCTACCCAAACTGGTAGCAACTTCCAGCAACATCTACAGACCTGTCTTAGTAGGCACCTGCTAAAAGTCTGTCCCACTAGTCAATGAGTGCTGGAGCCATTTGGTTCAGAGTAAAGTAAAAAAAAAAACCCAAGAACACACACAAAAAAGCTGAAACACCAGAATTTAAAGAAAAAATACCTCTAAATGTTAATGAAAGGGTTCTTTCCCCTATGATTTTTGGGCAATGACCATCTGTTTTGTTGACAGTTTAGGTTAGAAGTACCAGCAGGTTGATCTTCTGTCTTTACCTATGGAAGAAATGAACCCCTCGGCAGAGAAACAACTGAATTTCTCTATGCCCTCACGCTCTCATGCTTAGACAGCAAATGAAATCCAAATAAATTTAAGCCAGGTGCCCCCAAAACCTGATCTTGTTCTTAAGTCATCATTTGTGATATGATTGCATTCAAAAAGTCCAATCCAAACCTAAAGAGGGTCTCGATGTCTCTTCATTCCCCCTGTAACACCTGGTGATTAATCACAGCACTGCTGGGGGAGGAACTGAGGAGATGGGATTTCTCCCAAAGAACTTCAAATCCACTTGAAGTCAATTAAACCCTTAATGGAAGGAACTAAATGGACTAAACTTCCTGAAAGCTTGGCTTTTCAGGGCAAGCATCCAGCCAAATGACATGTGTTCCTTCATATGATAGAGAATATTCTCTGTCTAAGGCTGGTACTGGTGCCTGGATGCACCTTTTCTATTCATTAGACAAATTCCTTGGGCAAACAGCTGGATTAGAGCTGATGCACATGACTCAGCCCTTGTATCTTCTGCTCCACGCCAGTCCAGTCTCTCACTGCAGCAATTAGGAACAGAAAGTCGAGCAAAACAAACCAAAAAGTAATTTAGGTAAAGCTGGGGGGGGCCCATTTAAAGTTTGAAGGTGTGATGGATTCACATCACGTGCGCCTTGGAAGCAATAAATCCTGCTTAGGGAAATGTCTGAGGGAAAAAAACCACCACTGCCAGGCTATAAAATTCCACCTCTGAGGATTATAAAACAACAGGCACAGAGCAAACATCCTTCCCGAGCATAATAGGCCTGTCAGGAATGACTGACAGCAGTGACAGTGTATCACAGGCCGCTGTGTCTGGCAGGAGGGCAATTGTTTATTCTCTCCTGCGCCATGTGGAGGATGGAAAACGTCAGGGTGGATAAATGCACCTTTTCTTTCCACCTGCCTTCCTGCACCTGCATTGTCTCAGCACACTTCTCAGTTCACGGGACACCATTCCCGCTCCCCTCGGATCCCTCCCCCCTTGGGGTGGGCTGTGGAGATGAGGACTCACTTAGTGCTGCTCAGGGGAAGCTGGTGCCTGACGTCAGGAACCTGCTGCAAACCTCAAGCAAACACCAGAAATGAGCAATCTGGATGCAAAGCCCCAGCCCTCACCCGGAGGGAGGGCAATGCTCCTTTTCCAGAGCTCTGCCAGCCCAGCAGCCACAGCAATCCCTTTGCTCGGGCGTTTTCGTGGTGAGGAGATCCTATCCAGGGTGTGGAACGGATGGAAACCACTGGGGTCAAGAGATCCTGCAGGTTGCAATGACTTTCATTAAATCACTGTCTTCCCTGGGCAGAATTTGAGCCGACAGCCTATTGCTGAGGGGCTCCACACAGCTTATTACCTCTCCCTGCGTGCCCTTCAACACCGCTGACGGGGCTGACAGGTCAGCAGCCTCTCGGCCAGCCCACACCACGGCTCCCAGCACCATTCCCCCACCTCATCTGCCATCCAGGACATCTCTCGGGGCAGGAGGAGTGTAAAATACACAAGGAAATGCCCCATTCTCCATAGCAAACAATGGTATATGGGAGATGAGATGATTTCCCCCCCCATTCCACAGCTGTTTCTCTACACTGTGTTTACCAACCAGTGACCTCCAGCACAGCGAATTTCCCCTATAAAGCCACAGTCACTGCTGCCACAGTTGCCTGTACATCACTACCACAAAACTAGGGCATGAAAATCAGTGAGAAGTAGAGTAAATTGACAAAACAGATGGGGAAAAGAGGTTCCTCCAAGAAGCCAAGGGAGAAATAAATACAGTCTAATTAATGGACTGGGCTGATGTTCAGGAGCGCAGAGTTCACATTCTGGCTATCCAAAAATACAGCTCTGAAATCCCAGACCAGCTCCCCAGTGCCTCTGTGCTGTGGTTTCCCTTCTCCAAGCTGGTGAGCATCCTTGTCATTTTGTCTTCCCAGTGACACCTTGCTGAGTTCAGGGCCCTGCCCTTTCACAGGCACACGCTCATGGTCCCAGCGATGCCTCCGCTGAAAACCCTCACAGAGCATTTTCCAAAGTGGAAAACTGTGTTGATTGGTTTCGTGATTCATCTTAAGCCAAAGAAATGACTCAAGATCAAAGTTAGATCCGTGGAGGATCCTTTGCTCCTTTGCTTCAGCCACATCTCCTGGTGTGTGTCCAGGCAGAGTTCTAAAAATGTCTCCTATTTCTCTCCACGCCAGAAGGGCAGCAGGCACGAGGCATCATCCCCACACCACCCCTGCCTCTGCAAAGTGGATTAATAATGGCAGGGAAGTGAGAAATGCCCATTAACTGTCCCCTCTGACCAGTCACTCCTGCTGGGTTAGCAGTCCAACTGGGTTAGCATCCAAGTTTCACGTTGGATGTTCTTTCCCTCAAATTATCTACCAGTTAAAATCAGGTCCATGTCAAGAGAGGGGAGTGAAAGGGCCACGCTGGATTTCAGCTTATCTTTGTACAGAGCCTCACACAATCAATACCATTCAGAGCTGCAGGGCTCCATCTTCCCATAAAACCACTAGCTGGGAAGCAAAGAGAGCAGGGAAGGGAAGGGAAATAATTGCATTGGTGATATTTTTTCCTCCTGTGTGATTACAGCCATAGGGCACTCTGCAGTCAGGGTTAGCAAGGATTTATATGCACACATTGCAGGGGATATTCCTGTTGATATTCCTGCCAGACTCATGTTTCTTTCATTCCTCAGAGGATTTATTTTATTGGGTTTTGTTTTGGTTTTTTTTTACTGGATGTTATCACATGTTTAGTTCCATCCTTTTACTCACCACTACCACTTCCCACCTTGTCATTCTTTCAACCTGAAAATCCCAGGCAACAAAAAACATCCTGTCCTTTCTGGGAAGGGTTCCAGGAGCATCACGAGGATGCAGGAGCACTTGACATTTCCCCATTGTTATTAGAGAGACTGATTAGGAGATGCTATCACAGGCACCTATTAATATGCATTCAGGACAGCTGATAAGTAGGAAAGCAATTCTCAGGTGCTAAAAAAAGAACTCCTGCACGAGGGGATTATCAACAGGTACCTTTTTGCCCCATATTTATTTTAATCTGCCACATGCAGATGCCTGTAAGCATCTGCCTTCTCTCATGCCTGGCTATTCCAAATCCCTGGGGGTGTTCAAGGCCAGGTTGGAGGAGAATTGGAACAACCTGGGCTAGTGGAAGGTGGCCCTGCCCATGGCAGGGGGTGGAAGGAGATGAGCTTTAAGGTTCCTTCCATTCCATGATTATATGATTCTATTCCCACCTGCAGCACTGACTGTGGGAGCAAACCCAAATGCACAACCCAACCCTTCGTGTTCTCCATTAGTTTGGGGTAAATGGAGCATAATTGGCTAAAGATGCACCAAAATGAGACCAGCACCACCATCACAGACATGAAATCCTGAGCACAGCTGTCATGCTTTGCTCCCTGTGCAATCCCACAGACCCCAAAGCCTGGATTGACTCCCTGTCCAAAAATGAGAACATAAAACCACGTCTCACTAACAGCAGGGATTCCCAGGCACTTCCCACATGCACCACAATCCCTGTTAGCCAAAGAAATTAGGACCAAAGGTTTTGAGAGAAGATAACCACCAGGCTCCAGTGGGAGAATATGGGAATAAAACAGGCAATCCCCAGTCCTGGAGAGCTCAGGACAATCTCAGGCCTCCTTTGCCTGATTTTAGGCCTTGCCAGAGAAGGGAGAGGAGATCACCCCGTTTCTAAAACAACCCTCTCATACAAGCTGCCATTTTCCATCCAGGCTTTGCAAATAAAGACCAAAAGAGAATATAAAAAGACAAATATAATGAATGTTTCAAAGGGTGTGTTTTGCAGGCTGAAGGAAACACTGCAACGCAGCAAAGCTGCAGCGAGAGAGATTTTTATGTCGAAGCAGCAAAGGCACAAAGAAACATCTGCACATCATTTCATGACTTCTAACTGGCACTTTAGAGCTTGGCTAAACCAACAGCTCAGTTATGAGTCTGGCACTTCTAAAACTGGCATTCAGCACAGATGCTTAGTGGAAAAATGATTTTCCAGTCAGCTAGTGCTGATGCTGGATTCTCTCAATGGGGTTATTGCTGTATTCCCATCAATGGGCACATTGCTGTATCTTCTCCTGAAATTAAGAGCGATTTTCAGCCCTAAATCTGAGACTCAGCCCCAGCACAAGCTGCACACTCCGTGCAATGAGATGTCCTTCCCACAGCTGCAGATTTCAGAAGCCAAAATCAGTTCTAAAGAAGCGTCAGGGACTAATGTTCTCCACTGCTGAAACCACACATAAAGGTGACGTGTTCCCCTGCAGCCCTGCAATGTGCCCTCCTCGTATCCTAGCAGATGGGAGCTCACTGATTCCTTACCTGTGCATCCATCAGGAGGTGCCTCATCAGCATCATGGCACTTTTCAGAGATTCCTTCTCGCTGGGCAAAAAGGCTTCTTCCTCCTCATCCAGCGTTTTTGACTTGTTGACAATAAAATGGGAGATCTGGTCGTTCAAGGAATGCAGTGACTCAACGGCTGTGGAGACAGAGAGGGAGAGCAAAACAGGAGTGAAACCATGCTGGAGGGAGCTGACATAGTTTTCTCAGTTTGAGATGAGAAAGTGTAGCTGGAATTTGGTCCCCATTGCCTCCCTTGGCCTCTCTCCTGACAGGACCAGCCAAGGCATCGTAAAGACCAGTGGGTGAGGCCCTGAGCACCCTGGGCTAGTGGGAAGTGTCCCTGCTCATGGCAGGGGGGTGTTGGAATGAGATGGTCTTTAAGGTCCCTTCCAACCCAAACCATTCTAGGATTCTATGGTGATGTTTCTAAGCTCAAGTAACAGGTCATGGCTAGAGTAAAAATAAGAAAATTACTTTTAAGAGTCAATCTCTCTACTTTCAGCCCATAGAGCTGCTCCTTCTGATGTGCAGGAACCCAGAACTTCAGACTACATGAAAGGTAGAAGCTGGAAAAATTGGCTTTTTATTAGCTAGGGTAGGAGTGAGCAAGACCAACAACTAAAATATTGCTCATTTTCTTCCTTCACGATTATCAGTATTTGAATTACTGTTAATCTTTTAAATTCCCCTTCATATGGTCAAACCCCAGGTACTATATGTGAGATTCTGCTCCCAGTCATGCACATCAGAAATCACCACATCCACGGCTCATAGAAATCCCCCTGCAACATCATACACTTCATGAAGCTGCAATTTATATATGAACCCATGGCCAAATTTATTTCTGCCCAGTGAAGGGCTTTGGATTTCTACAGATTTGAAAAAAACCTTCCCTGCAATTTGCTTTTCAACCCTCACAAGTTTGGAGGTTTCATTTTTACTGTCGGATCATTAAATAAATGAGGCTCAAATAATTCTTGATCATATTTTCTCTCTGCTGGTGGCTCAGGCAGTGGAACCCTTTGATAATCTCGTGGCTCAGAGTAACACATCACTGTCACACACTGAACATCCTGCAAATCCTGGCTTGCTCAGGCTGTTTATGAATAAGGCAATGTGTTATTTAGGAGTCTCTGACAAAGTGATTTTAAGAACACAAGGCAATTGCAATCTACTCGACCTAGTTCTGTCTAAAGAAGATCTTAGAACAAAATTTGAAGTAGTAAAGATTAGCCAGAAACTGCTTGTTGAGGAACAAATCTTCCCAGACAAAAGAGCCATAACAAATCACAGGTATGTCTCCAAAATTCAGGAGGGAAAGAGCAGAATCCTCCTTACTGAGAGGGTTTGTCTTTTATTGAAAACAATAAAATAAAGTCTGTGCCTTACAATGTCTTGGTGAGGGTCTGGGGGGGGCTGGGGGGATTCCCTACATGCAGGGTGTTCATGCACCTCCTCACTAATAGAAAAGGTGTTGGAGGCTCACCCTGATGGGTGGGTCCATTTTCAACCACACCATAAATCATACAATGAATCACAGAATGGTTTGGGCTGGAAGGGACCTTAAAGCTCCCCCCATTCCACCCCCTGCCATGGCCAGGGACATCTTTCACTGTCCCAGGTTGCTCCAAGCCCCGTCCAACCTGGCCTTGGACAATTCCAGGGATGGGGCAGCCACAGCTTCTCTGGGCAACCTGTGCCAGTGGCATAAGAATTTGACTGATGGGTGGGACTCCTGTACATCACAGGGTTGTATATCACAAGCCAGGCCACCCTCCTGCTTGTGAACCAAACATCTCCTGCTTATGGGTCACTGCATGTGAAGCTGAGGGTGTCCCAGGGTGATGCTCTGCAGAGGACATGGATTTCTGGGGAGCAGCGTAAGGGGGATGGAAACCACGTGCAGCTGAGCTTCTCCAAGTAACCATTAAAAAATCATTTTGTAATCATATGCCCTCCCACCAACCAACATTCCTGAGCCCCAGGAAGCTGCAGGTTTTCCATGCAGGAGAGCAGCAGGTACCTGGCTGCACGCAGGCAGCAGTGGGTTTGATTTTCTTACCACTCCTGGACTGAACCAGCATCTCTATCACACACATCAGCCCTGAAAGCCACCTTCCCAGCACTAATGCACAAGTATTGATTCATCCCACCCTCTCTGACCAACAAAGAATTGAGGACAGATCATTCTTTTTATACTCTGAAATTTTGGCTGGAGCCCTAAGCCCACATCTGCTTCCAGTAATACAAATGTATAGCAGAGTTCTCCTCCTCGAGCTGATGGCTACCTTCCAGATTTACACTGACTGGTACATGGAGCCTTTCTCCCAGGCTTTCTGATTTTAAAGTAATTCAAAACAAACTAAATTACATTATCCTAAGTTATTCCAAACTCCTATCTGAGACAAGAGCTCTACATTCTCCAATATTTCCTCCCTTACTCTTTGGAGTTGCTCTCACTCTTTGCTCTGTTGGAGCAACATGTGGCCCATGAAGCTCAGGGGGGGGGCAAATGCTTCTCTCATTTTTCATTCTCTAGGTTTACAGAGATGCCAGGGAAATTAGAAGAAATATTTCCCAGTAAGAATGTGGGAAAAGCAGATCAGTATTGACTTGAGTTGATTTTTATAGGGATCTGCCACGGGGCTGTGTTTAAACTCTGTTTAGCAAAACAAATCTTTTCCCATGAACACAATGGAAACCGTATTGGAAAATAAAATCCTCTGAGTCTTCCTCATGAAAGTAAAAGAAGCATTTCCAAACCTCCAGCCTACATAACAAAGTGAAAACAAAGAGAGCTGAAAGACCAAACCATTCCTGACGTTGGTTTCTGGAAGTCCTGTGTCAGTCTGCAAAACTGCTTCCAAAGCAGAAGAAATTTTATATTTCTCATTTAGATCAAGAGAAATTTCCTGCCTTTTGCCCTCTAAAAATCTAAGGGAGAAGGATAATGAGGCAAACCCTCCATCCCTCACAACGTTACAGCTCAAACATTTCTGCCGAGCAGCACTTTCACTAACCCAGACAAATAGATAAGATTCCTTTTTAAAGAAAAAAAAATGATGGACCTCAGTTATAAACACAGGTCTGTTCAGTGGAGATTAAAAGATACTTCTTGATCCCCTGAAAAGAAAAAAAAAAAAAAAAAAATGGAAAAAAAAAATAAAAAAATGAGGATGACACTTTTCCCTCCTTGTATCATTCCTCTTGGCTCGAGGTTGGTAACACATCAGTGACTCTGCAAGCAAGACAACCAGCTAAATAAAAATTACAACTATCAAAGTCCTGTCAGCACCCCAGCTTCTCCCATTCCAATTTCACCATTTCCTCCCTGCAAGGAACAATTTCAAGGGGTGAAGGAACCGTAACAACCCTCTGTTAGTGCTTTGACATCACCTTCGAGAAGAGAGCAAATAATCTCTCCGGGAGGAGGCGGCTCTCCCTGCTGCTCTCCGAGATGATGTGCTGTGCTGGCGTGGTCAGGTGAGGACCATTTGCCACCCCCAGGAGAGAGAATGGGTCAACAAAGTTGGTTTTTTGCAGGGCAGAATCACCAGAGCCTGAAGGACGTGCAGGGGAGAAAGGAAATTGCTTTTCGTCGGAGACGAGGGAAAAATTATACCTGCGCCAAAAACTCATTCAAGGAAGAGGCTGAAGCAATAAAGTTGTTCCAGGAGACCCCATTTTATACACTCCAGATACTGCCCAGATGAGCACAAAATAAAATAAAGCATAGATAATATATCCTGAGATCTACTGACAAAAGCCAGCAGAGTCTAAAATTAAGTCTCACCAGCAGGAGTGACTAAATGAAAGAGGACGGACATGATATAATTTTATCAAGGGAGGCTGCACAAGGATTCCTGGGCTCATCTCCTGACTCTGCTGCATAGAAATAGAGAGGACATTTAAGTGGGACTTCTCTGTGAGCAGTCAGCACTCACCACATCTGCTCCCACGGAGAGCAAAGTCAAAAAACTGCACTGCAGGCACAGATCCTTTGAAAACCCATCCCAAAGGATGCCAGGGAACCTGGCTGGCTAACGAGGCTCTCGGAGGGTCTGCAGAGACAGTGATGTGTGTGGGCAAATGGTGCGATCCATTATGGCTTCATGTGACCAAGGAGCTTCTCAGATAACATCTACTGGGGTTGGTTTTGCAGTGAGGAAAAATGAACTACTCCAAGCACTTTAGGCCTCCCCTGTACGAGCTCTCCTCGTGTTCTCTGCACTGCCCCACCAGAGACAGGCACAGGGTTTGGGAACGTGGGGCTCCTGAAACACCCAAAGGCCTTTCAGCATCTCCCACGTTATGGAATCATAAAATGGTTTGGATTGGAAGAGATCTTAGAGATATCCAGTCCCACCCCCTGCCATGGGCAGGGACACCTTCCACTAGCCCAGGTTGCTCCAAACCTCATCCAACCTGGCCTTGGACACTTCCAGGGCTGAGGCAGCCACAGCTTCTCTGGGCACCCTGTACCAGGGCCTCACCACCCTCACAGGGGAGAATTCCTTCCCTACATCCCATCTATCCCTGCCCTCTGGCAGTGGGAAGCAATTCCCTGTGTCCTGTCACTCCAGGCCCTTGTCCAAAGTCCCTCTCCAGCATAGTGAGAGCTAAATCATAAATAAAACACAGTCTTATTTTTATTATTGGTGTTGTCTGATGGGTCTCTTGCTCATGTCCAAAAAAAGAGGACATGCAATGCACACAACAGTTTATTTTTACCTGATTGATGATTCTGGTTAAGAAGCCTTTCCCACTGTAGCATTTGCTAGTTGCATTTAGACATATAAATTAATTTATTCACTTAGCAAGCAGAGAAATCTCCCTTTGTAAAAGCCAGGTTCATAGAATCATAGAATCATTGAGGTTGGAAAAGATCTTCAAGGTCATCAAGTCCAAACTTGAACCAAATATCACTGTGTCCACTGAACCACATCACAAAGTACCACTTCTACTCGTATTTTGAACACTTCCAGGGATGGTGAGTCCACAACTTCCCTGGGGAACCCTTTCCAATGTTGAACCACTCTCCCAGTGAAGAAATTTTTCCTAATATCCAACCTTGTTCCCCTCTCTCGTGGAGTTTAACTCCTCTCACTTCCAACCAGCTGAGAAGCTGATCTGCAA